GCCGCGCCATAAAAAAGGTTGGGGATACCGGGCCGCGGCGTAAAAAAGGTTGGGGATCACTGGGCTAGAGGACCTCCAAGGTCCCTTCCAACTTTTGTTATTCTGTGTGTGAAATCCAAACCCTTGTACAGCCAGTGGGGGGGGGGGGGAGAATGACAAACTTTAAGCCCCTTCCCCTTTCCTTTTGCAAACAGGAAGCGTTTGGAGGATGATGGGTGCTGGAATCCCACATTTTTTGAGGGTATTTGATATCGGAGAGCCCGTTTGGTCCCGTGGCTAAGAAAGAAGGGAGGCCATGAGTTCTGGTCCTGCCTTAGGCACGCATGTCAGCTGGGGGACTTTCACCAGGAGACAGTGAGTTCTAGTTTTGCCTCAGCTAGGAAAGCCGGCTGGGGGACCTTTGGCCCAATCCCCAGGTGACTGGGAGTTCTAGTCCCACTTTAGGCCCGAAAGGCAGCCAGGTGACTGCCTTTTGTCTCTTAGGCCAACTCACCTCGCAGGGTGGTTGTTGCTGTGGGGAAAACAGGAAGAGGAAGGTGCGTTGGATAGGCTCACCCCCTCGAATGATTTGTAAGAAATAAATAAACAAAGCTAGAATAGAAATAAATGAATAAATAAATATTAGCGGTGGAAGAGTCCGGAAGCAAGAAAACGATACACCTGCCCGGCTCTAACCTGGCCTCTTTCCTCAACTCTGCTGCTTCTCTCTCTCTCTCTTTTTTCCTCATTTTGGATGTCTTTGGCTTTTCCCTCCTCCCTTCCAAGCAAGTTGCTGCATTCCTGATCTGCCCCACACCTGCCCAGGGGAGGTGAGCTGGGCTAGCAAAGGACCCAGAACCGGTTTGGCCGCTCCCGGCTCCCTTCTTCTCCAGGCCAAGGAGCCCCTCGCCCAAAGGCAGCTCACTGGGAGCAGGTGGTGTGTGAGGCTGTCGCACCAGCAACACACCTGTCCCCCCAAAAGGTGCTTCTTTTTTCTCCTCTCCTCCGCCCCCCCCAAAGGCAACTGGGACTTTTCTTGGGTTTTGAGAAATGAACTGTGAACTGAAACGTTTTTCAAAGAAAGTCCATTTGGCTTTTGGAGTGGGGGCGGCACACAGAAGCACCTTGGCCACCATCATCACCTGGAAAGTCTCCACAGACTCACCTGTACAACACACCTAGCCGGCCAAAGGGCAGCGGTGGCCCAGCCCGAGGCTCCCCGAGTGGGTCCTCGGCCTTTGAGACTGAAGCGCCCCGGAGCCCGGGAAACGCGAGGGGGGGAAGCCGCGGAGCGACCACCCCACGCGAAAAGCCCCGCCGGCCGGTGGGCATCGGAGCTGCCCGGGCCAGGCCGGAGAAGCCGGAGCGGCGGGCGGGGTTTCGGGGCAGCGCTGCGGTGGCTCGTTCCCTCCCGCTTCCCCGTCGTCGTCGCCCCGCGTGGAGGGAGGGAGGGACCCCCCACGGGTGACCGCGGAGGCAAGAGTCGCCGGCTTCTGCCCTGCTCTCCTGGTGGTCCCCTTTTTCGCCTCGGGTTGGGGCCGCTCCTGGAGGCCGGCGCTTCGCTGCTACGTCCGGGCAAAGCGGCCCTGGGCCCCCCCCTCCCCACGTCCACACACCCCGCTTCCCCGCGTGGGCGCCCCCCGCACCTTCTGGTCCACGATGGAGCAGGCCAGCTGTTTGACGTGGGCGAGGTCGCAGGCGGCGGGCAGCAGGACGTACTCGCGGGTCAGCCCGATCTGCAGCTGGAAGGAGACCCCGGCGGGGCTGGCAGGGGGGGCGGCCGGCTGGATGGGCTCGGGGGCGCCCGCGGGGGCGGCGGGCAGGGACGCCATCCAGGCGCCCGCGGGCTCAGCTGCCCTCCCCGCCGTCTCTCTCTCTCTCTCTCTCTGCCCCAGCCGGGAAAGGCTGCCTGGAGCCCTCCGGCGTCTCTCCAGTGTCCGGGACGCGCCTCCGAGGACGCGGCAGCAGCGCCCGCCCCGCCGGACAAACTTTTCTCGCCCCCCCCCCCGCCTCTTTCCCCGAGGAGGAAGTGCGCGGAGTGACACGCCGCCCGGCCAATGGCGAGCCCCGGGGATGAAGTCACGGAGCCCGCCCCGTCGCTCCGGAGTGGAGCCGGAACGAGCCCGGAGCCCGCGGGGAGGAAGCGGAGCTCGAGGGGTCCCGCTCCCCCTCCCCTCGCTCCCCATCCCTCGCCTGGGTCCAGGACGTGGAGCCAGGGCCTGCGAGCATGGGCAGGGTGCTCTTTCTCGGGGTCTCCGAGCATGTACAGAGTGCCCTTTATCGGGGTCTCCGAGCATGTACAGAGTGCCCTTTCTCGGGGTCTCCGAGCATGTGCAGAGTACCCTTTCTCGGGGTCTCCGAGCATGTACAGAGTGCCCTTTCTCGGGGTCTCCGAGCATGTGCAGAGTGCCCTTTCTCGGGGTCTGCAGGAATTGCAAGCTTTTGCCTTCTGCGAGTGGGATCGAGCTCATTTTGGAAACACACAACAAAACACGCAACCTTTTTGTTCCCGTTGCCCAAGTCTAACCCCAGCCAGGAGCTTTGTTCACACGATCGGATGGGCCGCTTGCGACCTGTCGACCTGCCGTTGCAAGCAGGTTCACACGTTCCTCGTGATGACGTTTGCCCCCCGTCGTGGCGAGAGATTCGGGTTTTTGAAATTGTTGGCCTCGGGAGTCCAAATAGCCCCGGAATACCCGTGACTTCAGCGACCCCTCCCCAGTTCTGGTTGGGTTCTGGTTCTCCCCTCTTTTTAAAAGGCGGGAGGGGGAGCATTTGGTCCAGGCCAGTCCCGGGCAGGAATCCGATCCAAAGCAACCCTGTCCTGCCAGTTGGTCAAAGGGAGCCCATTTAGCAGGAGAGCAAGGGAGAAATGCGGGCGGGGGGGGGGGAGAGAGACGCATTGGGGGGCCAAAAGTCCCCTCCCCCATCTCCCACAGCCCTGTTAGCAAAGGACTATAGGATTTGTAGTAACAACCCATCTCTATGCACAAATATGCGAAGGAAAAATCGCTTGGAGGTGAGATAGGGGCTGTATAAATCTAATTAATCGGTTGATTGATTGATTGATTGATTGATTGATCCCTGGCTCTTGTTTAGACGCTTGGAATGTCTCGGCGGAGGAGCGATCTGGCGATTACTGGGAGCCTTTCCGACACAAAAGTCCTCCCACCAAGAACCAAAAGGAGGAGGGTGTGATAAGGAATTGCTCCGGGGCGCTTCTTCCCGGAATGGGAGCCTTGAGTCATCGGAAGGGGTGGAGGAATCCAGGTGTGGCCTTTCAGTAGGAGGGAGACCCAGCGCCCCCTTCTCAAAAGAACCCCGGGAGACTTTTGGAGACCCTCCACTCCGGTCTCCTGGCCCCACAGAGGGTGGAAAGTAGGCCGCACTGCTTGGGGGGGGGGATTCTGGGAGTTGGAGTCCATCCATCTTTCTTTTCAGTTTGTGGCACCTTCTGTTAAAACAAAAACAAAAAAAGAGTTTGATCCAAAACTCAAGTCCGTTGGGTCTGGTGTTTAGGGCACAGACAAGAAACCAGGTGACGGTGAGTTGTAGTTCCCCATTAGGCATGAAATTTGGCTGGGTGATTTCGGGCCAATCACCAGGAGATGGTGAGTTCTAGTTCCACCCTAGGCATAAAAGCCAGCTGGATGACTTGGGCCATTCCCTTTCTCCCTCTCTTTCTATTTCTCTCCATCTCTTTCTCTCTCTCTCTCCATCTCTCTCTTTCTCTTTCTTTCCATCTCTCCCACTCTTTCTCCTCTCTCTCTCCATCTCTCTTTCTTTCCATCTCTCTCTTTCTCTCCATCTCTCTCTCTCTCTCCATCTCTCTCTCTCTCTCTCTCCATCTCTCTTTCTCTTTCTTTCCATCTCTCTCTTTCTCTCCATCTCTCTCTCTCCCTCCCTCCATCTCTCTTTCTCTTTCTTTCCGTCTCTCTCTTTCTCTCCATCTCCATCTCTCTCTCCATCTCTCTTTCTCTTTCTTTCCATCTCTCCCACTCTTTCTCTTTCTCTCCATCTCTCTCTCTCTTTTCCAACTCTCCCACTCTTTCTCCTCTCTCTCTCTCCATCTCTTTCTCTCCCTCTCCCTCTTCTCTGCTCTCTCTCTCTCTCCCAGCCCAACCTACCTCACAGGGTTGTTGTTGTGAGGAAAACAGGAGGAGGAAGAAGTTTTGGAGATGTTCGCTGCCTGGAGATATTTGTAAAAAGAGCAAAAAAAAGAGCGAGATACAACTCCCTCCAATCGCTTTGGACAGCCTTTCTTTGCAAAGCCCCCCCTCCCTCCCCCTGCCCCCAGTCCTCCTCCTCCTCCAAGGCAGCCGGACCTCTTGAAAGAGCCACCCCGCCCCCTTCCCGAAGCTGCAGCTGCCAGATATCCCAGGGCTGTTCCTGGAAGTTAAGGAGGGGCGGCTTGGCTCCCTCTTCCTGTCTGCCTTTGCAGAAACATCCTGCTTGGAGAGGCTGCCCGGATTATGCCCCTTGGCAGCCAGGTTCCCACAGCCTGGAATGCCGGCTTGCGTGCCAGCCCTGGGCGTGAAGTGAAGCCTCTCCTTCCCTTCTTTTTTTGTTCTTTTTAAGCAACGAAAAAGCCTTCGATCAATAACACCGGATTAGCTATCTAGTCCTTGACGTACGACGTACGACCACGATTGGGCCCAGAATTATTTCCATCATGCGTCAAGGTGGGGTGTTAAATGAAGCCCCCCCCCCCCCATGTCGTGCTCTTTTATTCGCCACGGCCGTGAAGCAAACCACTGCAGCCGTGACGTGACTCCGGCTTCCTTCATCCCACAGAAGCATGAACTGCCCTTATTCCCAGTCCAAGCAACCCCGGACTTGCAAACCAGCCAACTGGCCAAGAATTGTGCCAGGTGGACCTTCCGACGTGGCCTGCAGAGCTGATGGTTGGAGGACGGCTGGGCCGGTTGTCTTGCAGAGGAGGAGGAGCCGCCTGTAGAAACGGTGTAGGGTCTCCTGATTGGGCAGGGGGGGAGGGTTGGACTAGATGACCTACAGGGTCCCTTCCAACTCTGTTAATCGGTTAAGACGTCTGTTAAGCTTTGCCCATCCCAGTAATGTCCTTCAGCCAACAGCCGAGAAACGCCATTGCTTCAGCGTCTCCCTTTTAGGAGATTGGCCACGGACTCGCCGTCAGGCCGGGGGACCCTGGCTGTTCCTCCATCTGCTCAACCCCAAATCCTCGGCTTTGCTCTACGGCAGCTTGACAAGTGAGTGCAGGTTGCCAGCAGATGAGATCAAGGCCAGTCCCGGCTGAGGCTGGGGCGATATTTAAGCTCCAATTCCCAGTTTCTTAATCCAGGATAGCTGGCTTGGTGGGAACTGGGGTTCAAATCTTTCCATGGCACCACCTTAATGAAAAGCACATCTCTGAGCATACGCAGAGTATACAGGTAGTCCTCAACTTACGGCCACCATTGAGCCCCCAAACATTTGAGCACCGCACACCAGAACAACTAGACACAAGGGGGTTTTTTTCCCCCAACACCATCACTCTGCTCAACAAATAATTCCCCCAACTATTACAAAGTCTGCACTACTATTACTGTTAATCTTCTCATCACTCCTTATCACCCATCCCCTCCCACTTGTGACTGTGTGACTGTAACTTTGTCACTTGTATCCTTACAATTTATATTGACTGTTTCCGAGTATGATTTGATTGCTTATTGTACCCTCTGACTATCATTAAGTGTTGGACCTGATGATTCTTGAAGAATGTATCTTTTTTTTAATCTACACTGAAAGCATTTGCACCAAAGACAAATTCCTTCTGTGTCCAATCACAATTGACCAATAAAGATTTCTATTCTATTCTATTCTATTCTATTTCTATTTCTAATCGAACCCTATGACTATCAATAAGTGTTGCACCTTATGGTTCTTGACTCTTGACGAATGTATCTTCTCTTTTATGTACACTGAGAGTATTTGCACCAAAGAACAATTCCTTGTGTGTCCAATCACACTTGGCCAATAAAGAATTATATTCTCTTCTCTTCTTCATTCCAATATTCTATTCTATTCTATTCTATTCTATTCTATATTCCATTCTCCATTCTCCATATTCTATTCCATTCCATTCCATTCCACCATCCCTAAGACCACTTCACCACCCAGAGGCCACTGACCAGCTCTACCCCAAAATGGTGCTTCCAGGTTTTATCATTACATTTTGTTGATTCTAGGATTGATTTGCTCAAATTCTATTAATAAGAAGTTCCTGGCAAGGCAGTGTTCTCATAGTGATTATTACGTTTCCTAGTGTTAAGTACTACACCTATAATTCTTGATGAATGTATTTTTTTCCCTTTTATGAACACTGAAAGCATTTGTACCAAGACAAATTCCTTGTGTGTCCAACCACACTTGGCCAATAAATAATCCTATTGTATTGTATTGTATTGTATTGTATTGTATTCTTACTCTATTCTATTCTCCATTCTCCATCTTCTATTCCATTCCATTCCATTCCAATCTACATATTCTATTCTATTCTATTCTATTCCATTCCATTCCAATCTACATATTCTATTCTAATTCTAATTCTATTCTATTCCATTCTACCCTACCCTACCCTACTCTATTGTTCCATTATTCTATTCTATTCTATTCTATTCTATTCTATTCTATTCTATTCTATTCTATTCTATTCTATTCTATTTTTATTCTATCCCATTCCATTCTCCATATTCTATTCTCCATATTCTATTCTATTGTCAGAAGGCACCGAAGACTCTGCACTTCAGCCCTGAGCGACAGTGCCTCTCTCTTCTATCCTTCCGTGGCTCACAACAAGGCTGGAAGCCAAGACAACCACAGAACGAGACGAACCCCCCCACCCCAAGACATCCAAAGGGCTCTTCCCTTGGCAGCCCGCCGGGCTTGGCTCCCTGAAGGTAACGGAGCCAGTTCGACAGGCTTTCCCCTTGAGCTGCCCTGGAGGTGCCACCCTGCGGGCACCGCTCGTT